TTGATTCTGCACTCTCCCCAGTCTCGACAGAGCTTCAAGTCTTCAACTGCAACGATTCGACAGAGCTTCATCTCTTTCCCTTTATCTTGGCATCTTGAACGTGATTTCATAAGGTAAATAACTCGAACATATTTTTGGTCTGTTAATTTTGGGGCGTGAATTTAGAGTTTTTTTTGTGGGTTTCAAAGTTTGTAGGTCGTGATATTTGTTTTCCCCGCTTCTATCCTTGTTAATTCTACTAATTCGAGTTTGTATTGCTTCGATCTTTACTATTTTCTTATCTTGCTTTTTGCATATCAATTGTGATTTTTCGTATGAAATCAAAATGTTATTTTCATTGGTTGAAGAACTATGCTAAATCAAGGTTACACCTTTACTCTCTCTCATGCTTGGATCTGTTTTCCTTTCTTTATTTTTAACTACCCTTGTTAGATCAATGTGATTGAGCGTTCTGATGAGATTCAAGTGTGCTTACCTTTCTATTACCTTGTGATGGTCTTGGCTTGATCATGTACTCAACCTAATATTTGTTCGTTAGCTATGTGCTATAATAATGAAACTTTGACATCTCCCACAACACCATTGTGTCTTGGATAGTGACTCAACACCGGAAATAATAGTTTAAAACTGTCATTGCGTGGTGTTTGTCTAAGATTTTATAGGATAAAAATGTCGCAATCTTTAGTTGGCAAGCATTCTCGACTACATATTAAAAGCCTCAGGTCTACCTGGGTTATGGTGTGCTTTTCTTTTCCCTTTTGATTCAAGTGGCTATATATCTGTCACAGATGCATTCAATTTCAAAGAGTTTCTTAAGTTTTGAATTCCGAAAGCTTATTTATTGCATTTCAATTTTAAACTTTCATGCTTATTCACCATAGTTCTTCAATTATCCATCTATTCTATGCTCATTTTCTTGAGGTATTCATGTCCTTCACATATGTCCTGGATATGATATGATAGTATTATTCTTCATATATATGAAAGATTTTAGAAAATATGAAAATTAAAACTTAGTGTAGGAAACAAATTTCCAGGAAAGTTAACCCGATTTAAAATAGAATTCCACATCTAGTGACCACAAAATTAACTTTACATGAAACAAAATCAGGGGGCCAAGGGTTGTTTTGGTATTTAAGTAGGTCTATCAGTTATCGATCCTTTTCATATTAATAATATTTTCTTCAAACCAAATAAAAAAGCACCAGCTGGATTGATAAAGAGATGTTGCTAGATGTGGTACTACCATTTCCCAGTCCTTATGCAACCTAGTCTCATTCCCGCTTATCTCAATTTGATCTCTAAGTCAAACTTCTTGTAGCTTAATGAACCCAATGACACATGCCATGTTAAGTTCTTACAAAGAATGTGGATAATTTAAGAAAAAAATGCTAAAACTGATATTGAATTTAATTGTTTCAAACATTAAGCGAAAAGTCACGGGTTTATTCTATCAGATTGGGGGCCACAGATAGAAATATAAAACCCACTTCTTTAAATTGCTCACTTACCAGTCCCATGATTACAAATTTATTAATAATTCACATAATTTAATTAAAAAAAATATTACTTATATTTATCCTTTTAAATAATATCATTTAACTCATTATTAATATATAATTGTATAAAATTGCTTTACATTAAATCTAAACAGAATATTAATAACTAAACTTATGCTTTTCTTTTTTTAAGATAACAAACCACAACCGAATTGTTAACATAACTCATCCCTTTGCTTATCTCATAATTCATGTTTTGATTCAACTTTTTCTATTTGCTTCAACTTTCTCATTCTTCAATATTTTCTTGTCATTGTAAACTGTTTTTTTTCCTTCAGAAATGAAGTCTTCATCATCTAATGCTACTCCAATGTTTTGTGCTGATGCTGAGATTCCTTGTGATACTACTGCCAAAACTGATCAATCAGCTGCAGCTTCTTCAAGCATCCCATCGAATCTTCAGCAGCCTTTAAAAAAACAGGAGGCAGGTTAGGTACTACAAGTTCTATAGTTTGGGAACATTTTACAAAATTACCTTGTGTAGTTGGAGATATTCCACAATGTAGCTGTAATTATTGTGGAAAACCCCTTAAATGTCCAACTAAAAGTGGAACCAGTGTCATGCATAATCATATGAAACGTTGTCCTAAGTACCCATTTAACAAGGTAGATGAAAAGCAACAGAATTTGTGTTTTAAATCAGAGGAGGATGGGCAGCAAAGTTCAGGTTCAGTTATTTGGAAATTCGACCAAACACAATGCATAAAATATTGTGCTAGGATGATTATCATGGATGAATTGCCTTTTAGAGTTGTTGAGCATGAGGGATTTCGAGATTTTTGCAATATGATGCAGCCTAGATTCCAAGTTCCCTCTAGGTTCACTATAACAAAGGATTGCATGGAAATTTACTTGGAAGAAAAAGATAAACTTTTTAAGTATTTTAAGAGTTTCAATCAAAAGGTTTCTCTCACTACTGACATATGGACTTCTAGGCAAAACCTTAGTTATTTGTGTCTCACTGTTCATTTTGTTGATGATGAATGGAAATTACATAAACGAATCTTAAATTTTACACCCATTCCAAGTCATTCGGGTGATGTGATAGGAAAATGCATTGAAAACACTTGCTTGAGTGGGGAATAGATAAGGTGCTCACAATCACAGTAGATAATGCTAGCTCCAATGATGTTGCGATCAAGTATATAAAAAAAAGGCTAAACAATTGGAAACATAGCATTTTAGGGAGTGATTACCTTCACATGAGGTTTTGTGCACACATATTAAATCTAATTGTCAGAGAAGGTTTGAAAGATTTGGATGACTCGATTTTTAGAATTCGTTCGGCTGTTAGATATGTTAGGTCATCACCAGCTAGGATGCAAAGGTTTAAGTTGTGTATTGAGCAAGAAAAAATTGAGAGCAAGGGTTTAGTTTGCTTGGATGTTGAAACTAGATGGAATTCAACATTTTTAATGCTAGATACTGCCGTGAAATTCGAAACAGCTTTTGACAGGTTGGGAGAGCAGGATTTTAAATATAGAGATGAGCTTTCAAGTTCAAAAATGAAGGGTCTACCTACCGACTTAGATTGGGAGCATGCTCGTGCTTTATTGCCATTTTTAAGAGCCTTTTATGATGCTACATTGAAGCTGTCCGGTTCTTCATATGTCACTAGCAATTATTATTTTCATGTTGTGTTTGGCATTGGAATGAGAATTAATGATAAGCTAAATGATTCAAACTCAAGCATAAAACTTATGGCTTCAAATATGAGGGAAAAATATCACAAGTATTGGGGGAATGTGAAAAATCTTAATCCATTCTTATTCATTTCTATGATTTTAGATCCTAGACATAAGATGGATTATGTAATCTTTGTGATTGAAGAAGTTTACGATGCTGAAAAATCTGAGCAGTTGAGTGAAATTGTAAAACAAACTTTAAGTGAGTTGTTTGATCATTATAGTTTGTTAAGTGGTAAATCCCAAGAGGAACCAAATGTTGCTTCTCAATCTAATGTCTCTAGGGTTGAAAATGATGAGATGCTTGATTTGTTTGTTTATTCCAAGACCAAGTACAAAAGGAAGAGGGCTGAAAGTGTGTTTAGTGAAGGTAAATCTGAACTTGAAAGGTATTTGGAGGACAAAGTAGAACCTGATGTTAAGAAATTTGATTTGCTTGATTGGTGGAAGAGCAAAAGTCAGACCTATCCCATAATTTCTGTAATGGCTCGAGATATATTGTCAATTCCTGTATCTACAGTGGCTTCAGAATCTGCTTTCAGCACTGGAGGTCGTGTTCTTGACTCATTTCGGAGTTCTTTAACTCCAAAAATTGTTGAGTGTCTCATTTGTGCACAAAATTGGCTGAGAGCATCACCTGTAACAATCCAAAAAGAGGAACAAATTGAAGAAATGGAGAACATTGAGAGTGGTAAGTAATAATTATATAAACACTTGTAAAAATATTTTCTGACTCATTTCTGTAAATATTCTTACTTCTAAATATTTTTTTTTGACTTTTAATAGGTTTCGAAGATTTAAGGCTAAATGAAACAATGATGACCATTGATGATTGATCGAAGATGGAACACTTACAAAGGTAATTTCTATGATTTAATTTTATAAAGCTTATGACATGATAATATTTGAAATCAAACCGATTGAAAGTTCTATGATTTAATGTTATAAAGCTTATGACATGATAATATTTAAATATTGTTTCTGTTTGTGATATTAAAATATTGTTTTGATAATATATTAAATATTAGTTTAAATTTAAATAATTTTCAATTGAAATGTAATTCTAATTTAAATTTTGCATGATAATCTTATCCGTATAATATAGATTGAAGGCTGGGTGATGAAGAGCTGACTGTAAAATTAAACTTGAAGGCTGAAAAGTTTTCAGCATCTGCAAATGAAAAGCTAGAGGCTGCTGGTTGTTCTATCATGAATGGATGATTATAGTTTCAAGCAACTTTTTATTTAACTTTGATAGTTGAATTACACTTTGATTTGGTTGTTTAATTTGTTGTGTGAACCGAACTGCGAACAATATGTAGATTATAATTTTTGTATAGATTATATATGTGGAATGTGGATCATCCATAGCAATGTGGATTATAGTTTTTGTTGGATTATATACGTGTTTACTAAGATTATATATGTGGATTATGTGTTTTCTGCATCTGCAAAGTAATTTTTTTTGAATTTATAGGTTCAAGTGAAATTTTCATTGAAAATCAAAACAGGCAATGATATTTTTCAAGTATGTCTAATAATGTATTCGGTTTATGGAAAACCGTTTTATCGAATCGAACCGAATTAAAAAAATCGGTTTTGATTTTTTCGATTTTTTAACCATTTAATTTCGGTTTCGGTTTAAATTTTAAAAAACTGTTTATTTCGATTCGGTTCAATTTTTGATAAAAAACCGAACCAAACCGAACTGAACCGAATACACCCCTAGTTAATTGGCCCTATAACTGGGTTTTGTTTAGGGATTAGAAAAATTGGTTTGAGAGACGTCAAAGGGCGTGTTGTTGTTTAACTTTGTTTTTAGACCCACAATACTATACCCGCGTCGCAGCATTCCAAAATTTGAAGCTAAGTAATGGCGAAATCGATGGCAAATTTATCAACAAGGGTTTATCGATCTCTTTTTTCAAACCCCCAAACCCCTAAACTTTCAATGCCCTTTTGCACTACCACCACCACCTCTTCTGAAACTTCCGACTCGGATTCTGACCCATTTCCCAACTCAACTCCGCCTCCTGAATCTGCCGAGGACTCCACCACTCAGCGTCGTTTATACGACCGCCCGCTTAAGAATGGTCTCGATACGGGCATTTACAAGGTTCATTCATTTTCACTCTAATGGCTCTGAATCTTTAACTTATTTCACATGAGAAAATAATTTTATTCAAATTTCAGTATTTCTGTTTGTAGAATTCTGGGCATTAGCTAACTTAAAAGTTAAAAATAAATATAATAGATAAAATTTTCATATATGCTTTTATATGTAGGAATCTTTAGTATTGAAGCTCCATTCAGAAAGTTAACTGGAAATGATTCTTGCACTTCTGGCTGGTTTTCCTGTTTGTAGGCAATTTTGGTTGGACAGGTAGGGCGAACCCCAGTGCAGAAGAAACTGAAGAATGGGATGTCGATTACAATGTTTTCGGTGGGGACAGGTGGGATTCGAAACAACAGGAGGCCTTTTGAGAATGAGGAACCAGGGGAGTATGCTAATCGCTCTGCTATTCAGTGGCATCGAGTTAGTGTTTACCAAGAAGGGTTGGGAGATCTTGTCCTGAAGCATGCTCTTCCTGGGTAAGGTTTCATTTGGAGCATATTTTATTGTACCCGATATTGCACGAATGCTTCTTTCGATATTTGGATTACGTCCCTTTTCTTATCCTTGAATTTTGTTCCTTATTGCCGTTTTTAATATTGACATCTGTGTTTTGCAAAAGGTATTGAAAGGGTTAATTAATGTGATTTCTTTTGTTTTGGAAGCACAAGCATGCTGTAAACGATTAAAGGGTGAATGCCCTAACATTACTAAGTAGTTATAAGTACTTCTATTGATGGTGCTCTGGTGATTATATATTTACTTCTGGAATTGGGTAGCCATGTTTAAACTATTGCATGATTAGCCCTCTATCAGAAAGGTTAGTGACAAAAGTGTCTTGGAAGATGGTTCAGTCGATGGCCTTTTTAGAATTTCAGAGAATCTTTGCTCATTATCTTGTTGAGTTCAAGAGAATAGTTGCTTCGGAAAGCTTTTATGACTGAGTTTAGGCTGAATGGGAACTACTAATTAACCTATGAATTCTAGATAGCTTGCGTTTGTTTTGTGTTTTCCTTGATATTGGAGGGGGGGGGGGGGGGCGCTGTAATGGATCACTTCTATGCATAGCAGTTTTTCATAGAACTGTTTAAAAAATATATATAATTAGGTTGATCATTTCTGTTAACGAATGAAATTCAAAATTGTCTAACCTGTCACTTGGAACGGGTCATAGTGGGATATTGAATTCTATAGTAATCTTGTTTTGAGCATGGCCTGATGCTTTTTAACTGCAATTTCTTATCTTAATTATATGTGCTGTTGATTTTCTTCATTCTTGATCTTGGTTGTACTAATCTCTTCTTTTTTCTCCTTTTGGGTGATGTAGTACAATTGTATATTTGGAGGGAAATTTAGAGACAAAAATCTTCTGTGATCCCACCACTGGTCTGGCTCGACGCCTAAGAGAGGTTTCTGTTCGTCGAAATGGTAATCATATTACGTTTCTTCCATTCTTTACTAACCTCATGCTTTAGTATTTTACTTGCACTATTGAACTTTAAAAGAAATGAGAACACCATACAGGTTCTGCCAATATTTTTTTTCTTGCATATTTTTAGTGCTATGGATTTTGACGAGTGATAAGATGTTATTAATATTTCATTCGGTGATTAAATGCTCAAATGTATGACTGATTTTATCTTTATTGCTCGAACACTCCAAAATGGGAGCCGCACCCGTGGTCTTTTCTTTTCCTTAGTCTTGGTTTTTGCTTCATGAATGAAATGAGAGGCTTAGTTTTTTTTGGTTGGTTAGGGTGAAGTGCAAGTTAACAAAAAACTGTTGTTTTATACCAAAATGAGCTCGTACTTGACTTTTCACTTCTGCTGCGAAATTTGCAGGTCGGATTGTGTTCTTGGGAAAAGGTGATGATTCCCAGGGACCAACTTCTGGAGAAATGAAAGGTGCTGGGCTTTACTAGAAAGCATTGGTGTTAGTTGAAGAAGAGAACATGTAGTTGAGATGGAAAACAATGTTAAAAGTATTTTATTTATGGATGAAGTTTGTGGATTTCCATTGGCCGTTAAAGTCGTTAAATGTGAAATCGCATCTAATGTTTAACTTTAATTATGTTAATAACCTACTAACATCCATTATCCGGAGCTGAGTCCAAGTCCAAGTCGGCGATGTAGCATGGATCGGAGGTGTATGTATACAGGATTATTAGCAGGTGCACTAGTTATAGAATTCTATTTTCCCCACAAGTGTGCATTGAAATTATTAGGACAGTAAATGAGACGAGACATATTGTGAGCTGCTCGATATCGATTCGGTCAAAGCTTGATAAATACTCGATTTGAATGGACCTGACTTGAGTTTGAGTTTGACTCGAGTTCATAATGAGTCGAAACGAGCTATTTGATACTTGATTCGTAAAGTTTGCGAGAAACTCGAATATTATTAATATATTAAGATTTTATTTTTGAAAAGTACTAATAATATTAATATTTATGTATTTTTTAAAGGACACAACTACTCTATTTTGTCAACTCTAGACCCATCCCTAAATACAATACTCAATACAATTACGATACATCACACCATTAAAGCATATCCATAAATTAAACTGTAAACTATGAATACACAAAAATTAACTTCCTCCCACCTTTATCTTTCGCCACACGTCAAGCTACCCCAAATATACTTTGATTTTATCCCTTCCTTCAATTTAAGTTTTTTCAAAAGTTGGGTGCACTTCTTTAATTAAACTTCATTGCATTGCCAAAGTATATACCAAATGCTCTACATTAGGGATGGCAAACGGGCGGGTCGGGTGCGGATACCCCCTCCCCCATCCTCATACCCACCTAATATTTTTCAATCCACCACCCGCCCACCACCCATGATGGGTACAAATTTTTAAATCCACACCCGCCCACGCGGGTACATTCTTAAATCCATCTCCACACCCATTATCCACTAGCGACGTACCCGTCTAGACCCGCATGAAAGAAAACTTAAGTTATATATAAGCAACAAACATAAAAAAAACATTTCCATTAAGAAACATATCCATTAAGAAACATAATAAAATAATCCAAGGATTATCTGAGTTAAATTTTAATATAGATCTTAAAGTACATAAAACACCATAATAAAAGACATAATTAAAGTTTATAAACATAAATGACAAACACATAATGTTTTTGTTCTTTAGCACAACATTCTAAAATTTCAGGCAATACTTGTGACATCTGATACTCCAGTATTACAATCATCATTCTCTATTTCCTCCAATTGAGAGCGCTCCAATTTAAATTCACTACTACCTACATATTTAATAGAAAGTGGGCGGGCGGATACGGGGTGGATGCGGGGTGGGTAATGTCTCAAACCCATTACCCGCCCACTACCCATGACGGGTATCACTTTCTAAATCCACACCCGCCCACTACCCGCTAAAATTATACCCATCCCCGCCCCAATTGGAGCGGGTGCGGTGCGGAATCCACAAAACTGTACCCGTTTGCCATCCCTACTCTACATAATTCTCTTCTCTAAGCCCATCTAATCCTACGGTGGAAAAAATCATCTTGCCCAAAATTTCTTTCATCTGAGGGCCAAGAATTGTTATTTGAATATATTGAATGTGAGCTTAAAACATCTTTCGTATCATTGAAATTATAATAATTCTGTTAGAGTCAGATTTGAATTTGATGTTATATAATTCAATGAAGATATGAGATTGAAAAAAAGTAAAAAATTTAGTTTGATTGATAATAAGAAATTTATTTTTTTTATATTGATTAATAGTAAAAAATATTTTTAGTAAATAAAATATTTTTGTAATCAAATAACTATCCTATAAACATATATTAATAAAATAAATTTTCATGTAAAATCTTAATGCCTACTTTATTATACAATCAATGTGTAAACACATATTTCCGTCTTAAATTAAATTTGAATTATTGAGTTATCATTTAGCTATAAATGAATAAATAAATACATTTAAGGGTTGCAAGTATTTATATTACATTATATTAATATATACGTGAGTAGGATAGGGTCTATAATTTTGGTGATTAATTATAGTATATGAATATTACATACTTCGATTAGTAAAAATATAAATATAAATATAAAACACATTAACATATAAATAAAATGCAAGGTACTAACATATGCAGGTTTAATTGACAGAGAGTCCAAACAATTCAAGTCCAATACAATCCAAAAGTTTTTTTTTTACAAAACAAATGACCCAACGCAGGGGCCTAAAGAGTTCAGCAACCCACCTGTGTCGATCCAGGATCATCTCCAGTTAGTTTTTTTTACCCTAATACCAGCGTCACACATCCTCAGTCATTCGATCAAGGGAGAAAACGACGGCTCAGATTACATGTGACTAGGGTTTGTGAAACCCTAATGAACTTTTCAACTCCGCGCCGCATCATCAGGACCATTGGATCTGGACCAATTCAACGGTCCAGATTAAGGGGCCTTTAGGGGTTTCATAACCTTAGATGGGATCATTGCGCAATTGACTCTCCACTGTTGGATCTGTGAGAGATCTAAATGCTCCAAATTCAAGGAGATAATGCACCAGTCGCCACCGACTAAGATCGAAGCCCAACTGTCGATTTGGTCTCGCGTCTGATGCACACACGATTCCTCGAGCTCCCAACGTGTTGACAGGGACATCTCCAGCAACAACGCACCCACTCTCGGTCCCCCACAGCATCCATGTGCCTCTGCCAAGGCCTCCTTCAGCCTCTGTCATAACAGAAATTGGAACGCCCCTTTGTACGATTGTCAGAAGTCGTTGGGAAATGGATTTGAGCCTTTGGATGGAGCCACAGAAGAATCGGATGGTGAAAGGTCCCTATTTTGTGGTTCCTCTCCCACACGCAATAGACAAAACGAGGAGGAATAAAATTGAGAAAGAAAAGGGGCTTTTGGATTTTCAAACAAAACAGAAGAAGAAAAAGAGGGTATATATAACCACATAAACCCCAAAAAACGAGGGGAGGGGTAGAATCAAAAAGAAAAAATCAAAAAAAAAAAGAAGAGAAAGGAGAAAACCTTACCCTTAAGGAATAGAAACTCATCTCGTCGGAGCTAGGAAACCCTCCATCATCGAAGGTGAGACCCTCTTTATTTTAGTTCAGAGCATAGAAGTCTCGTATGGGTGTAGAGGTCAAAAAACGAGAGGGCTTAGAAATTGTTTAGGCTTCTTTTAGCTTTGAGGTTTCTCGAAGGCTTGGTTTTATGAGAGTTTCAAGGGTTCTAAAGTTCAACAACGAGAAAATAGGGGCTTTAAGGTGGCCGGAGGGAGTGACCTTCCATTTCTCACGGAGGAGAAATGAGGAAGAGTAGAGAGTTTGGGTTTCCCCTTTCGGCAAAAAATAAGAGACGAAACAAATGAGACTTTTAAGCCATTTTCGACCTTGTTTTTGAGTTTATATAGCCCATATCATATGACGCCGTTTAGGAAGGGAGAAGTTGTGCGTTTTGGGAGTAGGGTTAATAGCACCTTTAGTCCTCTATAATTTGTAATCGTTTTGATTTGGTCATCAATTGTAGTTTTATTTCTTTATGGTTTGAGCACTTAATTTATTTACATTTACATTTTGATCCATTCCCATGTTAGATATTATTTTATTTCAATAAGATTGTATGTTCGACTTATTTGTACGTTTAGTCCTTGTCACTTCCGTTAGCTGCGATTTAGTCCCTGTTTTTATATTTTATTTATTATTTAGCTCTTGTACTTTAATATATGTCTATTTTATAGTTTCAAAGTAGTATTTTTTAAATATGTAGCTATAAGTATTTAACATTTAAATATATGATATATATATATATATATTAATGTACATATGTTATATTAAAGGATACATTTTTTATATATTCTATTATAAAGATTAAAATTGATAATTTTAGTATTATAAAATTTGCAAAAGGTTTTTGGTAATTTGTTGGACTAATATATGGAAGACCTCCAAAAACCAGGAGTGCCCTATGAGTGTTATTCAAATAAAAAGAATATATTTTTATTTTTATTATTTATTTTTATTTTAAAATTTATTTATGAACCCTAACCCATAATATTCATCTTTTGATAGAATAATATTAAATTTTTAACAATTTTCAAAGAGAAAAACCAATAGAATCAAATCACAATTTAGCAATCAAGGTAAAGTTAATTAAATTTGCTTATTCTTTGAAATTTTAATGTTTCAATATTTTTAAAATTATTATTTGATATTGATAAAGATTTTGTGCTTTTTAATGTTTAGAATTATTAAAGATATTGGATTGATTTTCAATTTTGAGATAATTATTGTTATTGTTTATTATATGTTAATAAGTTCATTGTTTTCGTTCTAATAGATGCGTTAACACTATAATTTTTTTTATTGCAACAATGTATATCAACTATTTTCAATGTTTATTTTATTCTTTATTTTTATGAATAATGTAAATTTATCTTTTATTTATTATAACTTGTAAGAAAATATATGAATAATGTAAATTTATTTTTTGTTTATTACATGCATCATTGATATGAGTTCAAACTATCGCGACCGTCTTTCGGTTGGGCCTAGAATTGGGCTACGACTTGGGAAAAATAATTTGGAGTCGCCACCGATCATTTTAAAACGAGTTTAGGTGGGTCAAACATCATCTTACCTGATCTGCGTTGTACCAGAAATATGTCGGGTTCGGGAGTCGGTTACGGTCAAGGAAGGATTAGCACCCTTGAACTTCCCTTTCGGTACCAATTAATTTTTTAGTTGTCTTTAATTGCGAAAATTTAAAAAATAAATTAAAATTTAAAATGTTCGATTCAAATTACTTACCTTTGACCAGTTGGAATTATTACTGAAAAATAAAAAAATGTTAGATAGTAAATAAAAATATCGAGTAAAATTAATTAAATAATAAGGAAAAAAATGAAAAGAATAAAAATAAAAAGGATGTTAAATTTTAAAAGGAAAAATGTTTTAAAAAAAGACAAAGCAGAAGGAGAAAATATAAAATTTCTAGGAATAAATAAATAAAATAATAGAAATGGTAATTCCAAAAAAATAAAAAATATAAAAATATAAAAAAATAAAAGAAATAATAAATAAAATATAAAGGAAATGAAAAAAAGGTTAAGGTTTGAAATTAGAAAATGTTAGGAAGATAAAATAAAAACTAAATAAAGTAAATAAATAAGAGGGCCAAAATGAATTAAATTGGACTTTGTGGACTGAAATTGATACTAAAAAAAGACAAATTGCAAAAAAATAAATAAATTAGAGGGTTACTTCACAAAGTATAAACAAGGACCAAATTGAATGAATTGAGAATATATATGTAAAATTACAAACAGTGACCGGATTATAATACGATTCAAACTTCCAGGGACCGCTGAGAGAATTAAAAATTCTCTAATTGCAAGAAGGCCCCTGGTATATAAATAGCCAAACAACCCATTTTTACTTCATTATTCAAACATTCTCAGAAGTCTCATCTCTCTCAAATGAGAGAAACACTCTCAACCCTTTCCCTTGGGCGATATCTGGCCACCGCCCGGTAGCCTAACCTTGTCGTGTCGCTGCCGCTCCGGCCATCGACGGTGGTGGCCAGAAAAATTTACCTATCCTCAAAATGCTCGTGCCAGCCCCGTGAGTTCGAAACCAACGTCCAAATCCCCAAAACACACTACAGTAAACATAGATCTAAAAAAAACTTTCAGCCCTTCACATTCTCCAGCGATCTTTCGCATTTTCGGTGACTTTCCCCTCTTCGGGGCTTAGATCAGGGTTGCCTTTGTGTTTTTTTGATTTTTTTTCTTCTTTTCGTTATATTGTGATGATGGGTTTTGTTGTGTTTGGCTTACGTTTCAATCTGGTTTTTTGGTTGTGGGTGTGGTTGATGGGTTTGATGGTTGTGTTCTGGTACGGTGACGATGTTGGCTTGTTGATGCGTGTTTTGGTACTGTTTTTGTATGTTCTCGTCGGTTCTATGACGATGGTGGTACCGTCCTCCTCTTGATCAGTTCTGTGATGCTTGATATTTATACAACCCCGTTAGGGGCTATTTTTCAGTTGCGTTGGGATCGATCCCGGATATTCCGGGGTCGATCCCGGATATTCTGGGGTGGCCGGTTGTTGTGTGTATTTCGGTGTTGGTTCTGATTTTTGCTCCCATCATGTTACATGTTTGACCGGCGACGTGCAATGCTTCTGACTCTTGATATCACTTCTGACTGTTGAGGTTGCTTTCTGGTTGTTAGATTGGGTCAGATCCAACGATCCATATTGACTTGTGCCTTTTACCCTTTCAGTCGTTTGGTTTGTGCAGCGCCTTTGACTGACTGTCTTGATACATTAGGGTTCTAAAAACCCTAGTGGACTGGGTTGGATCAGGCTCCAAAATTGGCCCAGGATAATAGACCCTTTGTTGGATTGGTTATTGGACCTGAACAATAAAATAAAATTTAAAATTAAAATTAATAATAAAAAATAAAAAATAAATAACAATAATAATATTATTATTATAAAAAATATTTTCCAAAAACCTATATAATATATATTTCAAAAAAAATATTTTTAAAAAATATATATATATATATATTTTAAAATGTTTTCAAAATTAGATAGTTTTCAAAAATGTTTTAAAACTATGTTTTCAAAATGATTTCAAAACTATATATTATATGTATTTTCAAAATGTTTTTCAAAAACCATATAATATATACATTTTCAAAATGTTTTTCAAAAACTATATATATTAAATATATATTTCAAAATATTTTCAAAACCATATATTATATAAGTTTTCTAATTTTTTTTAAAAACCATATTTTATATAATTTTCAAAATGATTTCAAACTATATATAATATATCCTAAAAATCATTTTCAAAAAACAATTCGGACGAAAATGAGTGTCTACAACTGCCCCTCTTTGTCCTTTTTTGTGGAACGAAAAAAGGACAAAGATAAAAAGACACAAATTTTCGTCCGGTGGAGTTGAAGATTGAATAGAATAACTCCCTGTCAAATTGTGTTCCGGATGTCTCCTCCTTCGCGAAGTCGAGTCCATCTCGAAATGATATAGAATTAAAGCCGCAGTTCGAGATTTGAATCGGGATGTGACTTCTCGTTGCTTTTTGGTCTTCTTCTCGGCTTAAAGACCTTGGTTGAAAATTCGACTGGAAAGTAGTTCCTTGACTCCACCATGTGATTGACAGGTTTTCGAGCTGAATGAAATTGAACTCAAAAGGTTTTCGTCGACATATAGCTTTTCTCGACTTAAGCTATGCTGTCGAAAAATAGTGTTTTGCACAATTAACCCAGGACTTCTCCTCAACTTGAAAACCTCGATTACAATCAGACAGTAGTGTGATTGAGGTGTCATCGAGCTGAATGGAGTCGACTCTACAATTTTATTGACAGATAGCCCTTCTTGCCTTGATCTATACTGTAATGATGTGCCTTGAAGCTAAGCGTAGTCGAACTCAAAGGTATTTGTTGGCAGATAACCTTTCTTGACTTAAGCTATGCTGCAAATGATGTGCCTTAAAGCTAAGCGTAGTCAAACTCGAAGGTCTTTGGTGACAGATAACCCTTCTAGCCTTGAGTTATGCTGTAAATGATGTGCCCTCGAAGCTGAGTGTAATCGAACTCGAGGGTCTTTGGCAGATAACCCTTCTCAACTTAAGCTATGCTGCAAATGATGTGCCTTGGAGCTGAGCGTAGTCGAACTCGAAGGTCTTTTGGTGACAGATAACCCTTCTAGCCTAGAGTTATACTGTAAATGATGTACCCTCGAAGCAGAGTGTAATCGAACTTGAGGGTCTTTGGCAGATAGCCCTTCTCGACTTAAGCTATGCTGTAAATAATGTGCCTTGGAGCTGAGCGTAGTCGAACTCGAAGGTCTTTGGTTAGCAGATAACCCTTCTCGACTTAAGTTATGTTACAAATGATATGCCTTGGAGCAGAGCGTAGTCAAACTCGAAGGTCTTTGGTTGGCAGATAACCCTTCTCGACTTAAGTTATGCTGCAAATGATGTGTCTTGGAGCTGAGCGTAGTCGAACTCAAAAGTCTTCGTTGGCAGATAACCATTCTAGCATTGAGTTATGCTACAAATGTTGTCTTTAAAAAATGGCTTCCCTTCACAGGTGTAAGCCGATCATAGTTCTTCAGGTGGTTCCTCTGAGCGGGACTGAACCAAGTGATATGATTTTTGGATGACTCCCCTTCTGTCAGCCGGATATCTTCCATCGTGGAATTGAAATCTGGCTTGAAAGTGTTAACTGGAAAACTGCTACTCGTTATTGAGTTTAGCTGAAATGAATTTGTTCTAAATTAGTTCTCGAACTTATCTGAAGTTGATTGTCAAGGTTGAGGTTTAGCTTCTCG